GTTCCTCATGGCAGTTGAAGCCATTTGACAAATCAAAATGAAAAGAACAAACTATGGTCCACAGCCCACAGGGAGCCTACAGAAGAGCTGAAGAAGACCTTGGGAGGTTTGAAGAAATTGTCAATTATCTCAGCACCCCACCACATAGTCATAGAAGTTAAAACCCCAAAATAAGAGTGACAGGGAAAAGGACCTATGAAGGAAACATACTGAAAAAATCAACATGGATGACTGAGAAACAAAAGTCTACTCAATGGTGCTAAGGTCTGGGGAAACCAAAGATTAATTTGCTGAGGAAAACTATAGTTTTACTTTACAACTTCCCATAATAAATCACATGGAGCTGAGAAATAAAAGAGCAGAAGGATACAACATAACCAGTTTAAAATGAAAACGTATTGGAGAATATGAAAAGAGAAGGTATTTGACAACAAACCATAACGGGACTTTTCGTCATTGCCCAAACTTCCACAGGTGCATCACGAAACAAAATAAGGAGGTACCTGAATGTGACAAACACATCAATTTGAGATGAAAAAAAGACAAATGTTATGATATACAAACCCTACGGAGGGAAGGCATTATAGAGCTAAGTTCATCAACATTTGAACTTTCCAGCTACCTTCCTGATGAGGAAGCCCTTAAGGCTCTAATTGGTGCTCGCTCTGGCTTGTGTAAAACTCGAAATGGTCTGTTAAGGCCACTTCTGACGCAGGTCACGATAAGCCTATTGACATAACCTCCAGCTTTTTCACTAGCCTGGCTCCAACATTGGAAAGAGTGTTGGAATGGCAAGATAAAGCAAAATAGTTGAAGTTTTACAATGCCGGAAATTAAGTAAATGACAAAAACTTAGATAGGTCTGCACCTGATTGTAAGAAAATGAAACAAGTCTAGAGTTTCCAAGCCATCGGAGGCCACGAACTGCGCTTGTGTGAACAGAAAAACTAGCCGCAACAGCATTAGCAGAGACATCAACAATGTCAATCATTCCACTCTGAGTTCCTAAAGCAACAAGTGGAACAGCTACAGCAGGATAATTACCCCCACCTGCGTGATATTATCTCATTAACCAATTTGTTTCGAATTCAGGTATCTCTTTAAACAATTAGCAGTAGCACTCAAGGTAAAGCTAAACCAAAAAAGTAATCAATACTAGAAATGCAACACATAAAAGCATGAAGATGAGACTTACGAGCTAAAGTAGCTGTTAGAGAAGGAGAGGGCACCGCCAGCATTGTCAATGTTGAAGAAAGAAGCTGCAACTGCCCTACCAAGCATACCTGCATCAGTAAGTAGACTCGTTAGTTCACGTAAATCATCCAAAAAGAACACAATGGTTTTAGTAGTTCCCACATGAACGAGCAAAAACAAGACGAAAACAATTAGGATGTTACTTCTCAAACTCTTGACAGGTAATAAAAGACCTTCCTTGACTAATTAGCTCCCCTCATGTATGCACTTAATTTTCTTCGAAAGCTTTTGGTGCTAACAATGACAGCCTTTTTACAAAGATCATGTTACATTTGAGTTTGGAAACGTTGCTAACAGAGGTCCAATCAAAATAAGGAACCAATGTAAGGAAGATAATGATTACGCTCAATTAATACACACACTCGAAAATCTTCAAATAGCAGTTTAGATGCAAGAAATGCATAAGGAAATATGCTTGGCAAAGAGTATATAGTAGGTATGCAAATCATCAGTAGGGTTACATTTCGAAGAAAGACCATTCACAAATGCACTTAGGTGAGGATCTCACATAAAAGCTGAAATTCAAAAGTTCAGGAAAAAGGGAGGGGAGCAAGAGATTCCTTGCCTTGAATGTTGTGTTTTCCTCACTGGCAACAGATGATGATCGACCTTTATTGCCACTCAAATTCTCCTGCTGTTTGTTTCTTTCCAGGTTGATACCATCAGTGGAAGCTATAGCATCGGAATCCTCTCCTGTGTCTGGAATAACCTCAACATTCTTTTCTATTTCTTCAGCAGTCAGAAGCCAATTCCACACTTTGCCATCATCAGAAATTGAAATCATGTGTGTCTTAGAAAGACTTTGAGCATCGTCATAGAAATCAAAAGGATTGTCGAAATCCTTGGTCTGAGGAGTGTTAGGCGCATCCCGATATAACTTGGCAACATTCTGGAGCGTTGAATCTGATTGACAGATGGTTACAGCAAGTAACGACGGGGATGGAACGGAAGTGCCAATTGAAGGCATTAATTCTTCCGTTGCACAACATATGTGCACCTGCTCTCCTCTATTTGAAGAAACAACAAAACAGAGAGATAGATTGTGACTTGAAGTATGCATATAGAAAGTAACAACAAAATTCAAATCAAAGCAAGTGGCGCCAAAACGAACCCAATGAAAGACAGACAGAAAGTTAGAACTAGCGAGGCTCTTATGCTCATTCCTCATGCATCAAAGCAGGATGGCCATAGGAATAAGTAAAGGCAGTGGCAATCGACCATTTTATAGCAGCAATGAGTGACAATACTGTGCTTTATGTTCAAAGAATGGTATAAAACAGCCAAAGAAATTTGATCCCACCAACGCGCAGTCACGAATGTAACTATCAGCTTTACGCAATTTCGTATTTAGACAACATTCCAGATATGTCAAACAAAATGGAAATGAGGATTGAAAACAGTTTCATAAAAAAACCTTTTGGATCTTTCATCAGGAACTCATTAACCATATTTCACCTCCCTAACAGCCATGCAAAAGTGAAACCAACGGTTCTCGCGGCATGAAAATAACTCATTTAGCCTCCAGTTGGGCCCTCGCAAACGAAGCTCGCCCAGATCATGGACCAGAAGCCGTGTTCCTTTATGAATCAACATTTTATCAGTACCGGGACGCCATTCAGATAGACCTTCCGATATCCAATTGTCCTCTTATGGAATGTTAGAACACCAAACTGGCTTCATTTGGAGCTTCATTAAGTCTTCTATTTGCTAAGGCAACTAACCAGAAACTCGGCGATTCAGACCTAGTTCTTGCTAGGGAAAGCCATTATATTCAGTCCATCACATAGAAGGAAATCTAGACATTCCCAGTGCCTACAACCTTCAGTCATATTTGAATTTCTCATTGGCTTCAGTCATACTGAATTCCTTATTGGCTTCAACAGGCAGTTCAAACGTTCCTACTGAACCAAACGCTTGATAAATCATATAGAACAAACTTACTCTTTCCGCCGCCAGACGCTGAGCTTCCCATCCAGGTGGGCACAGTACAAGAACTCACTATTCGGATCCGTCAACACATCCAGAAACTTGGAGCACCCTCTCGGCAGGGAAGAAGTGGAAAGCGCCGTCTCGTACTGCAAATCGAAAACCACCAGCTCTCTAGGGAACGTCACAAAGAGAATGTGCCTGCACTGCGGCGAGAACGTCAACTTCACGGAGTACAGCGGGAAGGCGGCCGCCGCAGGCGCCGAGGAGGAGGAGGAAGATCCAGCACCGGCAGCATCCTTCTCGAGCTTCACAAACTCCGTGCAGTCCGTAGGAATCCGCAGCTCCTTCACCACAACCTCGTCCTCCGCTTCTCCAACAACTAGGATGGAGAGCAGAAACCCCTTGAGTCCAATCACGCAGAAATGCCGGGGATCAAACGGATCGCGGCGGATGCAGGAGAGGAACTCTGGAGTGGCGTCGTACTTGTAGAAGCAGTGTCCCGTGCTGGTGTTGTAGAGGGAGAGTGAGGAAGGACCGGAGATGGCGGCGAGGATGTAGGCGTCCGGGCGGAAGAGGATCCAGCAGAGGTCCTGAATTCCGCACTTGGAGCTGGAATCGGATTCGAGCCAGAGGACGACGGATCTGTGGCGCAAGTCGACGAGCGCGATCCGGCCGTGCCGGTCCCCGACGGCGAGGATCAGGTGGGAGGAGGAAGGCTCGGTGACGAGGAGGTCGCGGCTGAGGGGGAGGGGAGTCCAGCGGACGGCGGTGACGAACGGGGAGAGAGCGGCGGAGGGGGAGGAGGAAGGGGAAGAAGGAGCGGGGAGCGGGATGGTGGAGATGTGCTGGAGGGAGCGGGAGTCAACGACGGAGACTGAAGATCCAGAAGGGAAAGCGAGGAGACCGGAGGCGGAAATGTCGACGGAGCCGAAATTATTGCGGGACGGCGGCCCCGGGAGCATGCACTCCCAAGGGGAGGAGTCGGCCGCCGAGGGATGCGGCGGCGCTCCGGCGAGAGACATCCGGTCTTTGTCGGGCGTACGACGAATTTTACGGGGAGGGAAAAGAAAGGAATCTGTTATGTGTCGGACGCCATGGCCGCTCCGATCGGCGAGTGTGTAGCTTGGAAATTTGGTAATCGAGAGATGAATGGAAGCGGTCAGCCGGTCAGGTCAAGCGGAGACTATAGAAGAAAAGCTGGTACGGTCAGGTTGGTGGGGTTCAACCGATTCGGTTGGTGGTTTTCTGCTAGCGTATGTCATGTGGACTTTTTAGGTCTTCTACTCTTCTTAGACATTTCCTACTTCTAAGTTCTAAGTTCGGCTCGTTTTAGTCGTTTTAGGGGGTCCGAACATTGTAGTCGGGAGCGCTTTGGATGTTGGGGTTCTGCTCTTTGTTGGTGCGCTTATCTTCTTTGGTGAGCATATTCATCGATCTTCCTTTCAGTCTTCCTATGGTTTGTTTGTGGGCTTCTTCTCTGATTGACTTAAGCGGTAGTCAGATGTTAATTCTTATTTTAGGTTGGTGCCGGTGTTGGTTGTGGCTCTTTGTCTTTTGGGAGATTGTAAAGGGAGTTGTTCTGCCTTTGGATCCTGGTTTGTCTTGCCTCCGGCTCCCTCAATCTGTTGAGCTCATGGTTTCAGCATGCCCACTACTAAGTAGTCTCTTTCATAAGATTCATTGTGATAGGTGGTATTTGACCAATCCACAGATGGCGAATTATGGGTTGCAAGTTCAATCACCATTGGCTTGTTTGGTTTTGGCCGAGTATTTTTCTTTTTTTTTTGGTGAAAAAGGTGCAAGCACCTCGGCCTCAATTACTTAACTTTGCGGACAACAAATCCGCCAACAGAGTCATACAAAAGCCAGCGGTCAACGTCCGGTCTACTAACACTGAAAGAGATAGATCCCGGGTCTAACAGGTGACCTTGGTGAGTAAGACAGTCGGCTAAAAAACTAGCCTCCCTATAGATATGGCGAACTACAACCTCCCAGTCTCTGCGAACCAATTCACGAAACTCTAGAACCAGGCTAGCGTGCTGGTGGGTCGTTGGTGCTTCCGGCGATAAAAGCTGTACTGCAGTAGTGGAATCAAGTTGGAGCTCAACTCTGCGGTGACCTGTATCCCAGGCCATATGAAGCCCTCGGATGGCGCCCCAGATTTCTACTCGAGTAATGGTACATCTTCCCAGATTCATTGAGAAACCCCCCAGTAAGCGACCCTGCCAGTCTCTAAGTGCGCCCCCTGCAGCGGTAGACCCTGACAGTCTCAGGAGAGAGCCGTCAGAGTTCACTGTGATCCATCTTGTCGGAGCCGGTCTCCACCCAACAGCCATGTCTCGACTCGGCTCCGACCTCCCTAGTGAAATAGCGTGGTCCGCTGCTTTACTTCTCTGCGCAGCGACCTCCCAAGCGAGGATCTTTTGCGTCAACTTACTAGAGGATTCCTCAATGGCTGAAAAGACATAATCATTTCTCGAACCGTACTTGGTGGTTATGGCTGTGCAGAAGGTCCATGAACCAAGACTTCATGTCCCTTCGATCTGAAGCTCGAACTGCCGCCGGGAGCACCTGTTGCCACACTTGCTTCGCGTAGCTGCACGTACGGAGAGTGTGCTCAATAGTCTCTGTCCCCGTCTTGCATCGTGGACAAGTAGTTGATGTTGCTAGGTGGCGCCTCTGTCTCTCGACATTGGTGAGGAGAGAATCATGCACCGCGAGCCACAGAAAATGCCTGACCCTATTATGGCCTGGCCATCTCCACATGTCCCACCAGCCGGAGTCCTCGTCGTCCCTGTCCACCTCGGCTACAAGTTGATAGGCTGAGCGAATAGTGAAGTTTCCTTTTTCTTCAAGGCCCCAAACAATGGCATCATCTCCCAAGTTGGGTTTTGGTGGAGGGGTCCCTACAACCGGCAAAACAAAATCTCTAGGTAAGAATTGTTCGATTAGGGGCAGATTCCACTCACCTTCAGGAGTAGTCATCTCGGCTACTGTTGCTTCACTTTGGAAGCCTGGCTTTGTCGTCCAAGCATTGTCCACTAGCGCCACACCGTTGTCCAACCACTTATCCTGCCAAAACAGAGTTGTTCTTCCATCCCGAACACTCCAGCTAATTCCTTCGAGCATCAATTCCCATACCCGTCGGACACCTCTCCACAACTGCGAGCATCGCGTCTTCCGGCTTTGCTCGACCCCATTATGGTCCTCCTTGAGATACTTCTCCTTCAACACTCGAACCCATAGCTCATCTGGTTGCTTGAGGATGGACCAGGCTAGCTTCAGGAAATAAGTCGTGTTCAGTTCCCTCGCCATCCGCAAGCCCAGCCCTCCCTGTTTCTTTGGAAGACACAGAGTTTACCAATTAACAAGGTGTATCCGTCGGCGTCCCTGCTGCGATCCCCATACAAATGCCCTTATTTTGCGATTGGTGTAATCGCTAATCCCCACGGGAAGTACAGTTGTCTGCATAACATAGGAGGGTATCGCGTTAAGGACATACAAAGCTAGAGTTACCCGACCTGCCAATGAGAGACTCTCCGCTCGCCAGCCCGCCAACCGCTGATCCACCCTGTCAATTATATACTGGTACGTCTGTTTGGTGACTCGGCCATGTAGGACAGGAACACCCAAGTAGTGTCCCAGATCCTGTGTCATAGGAATAGCCAGGCGGTCACTGATCTCTTTGCATAAGGTGCGATCCATGAACTTAGAGAAGAACACTCGCGACTTCTCTCGACTAACAAGCTCCCCTGATCCTTGACAGAAAGCATTTATGCACTGCAGCACAACATCACCTTGCTCAATACTAGCCTCCGCGAATAGTACGAGATCGTCCGCAAAGAAAAGATGTGAGAGCTCTACTCCTCCTCTAACAAGTTGGATTGGCTTCCACTTCTTTCCTGCAACCAGCTCAACAATCATATGAGATAAACGCTCAATGCACAGGGTAAAAATGTAGGGTGATAAGGGGCATCCCTGATGGAGTCCTCTCATAGGACGGAACGGGTCAGTGTAGGTCCCATCCCACAAGACCTCGAAGGATGGCGAGGCGATACAAGCCATAACCGCCTGACTGAACTTATCTGGTAGTCCCGCTGCCACTAGGGTACTTGCCACAAAACTCCAGTCCAGTCAGTCATATGCTTTAGCTAAGTCAATTTTGAGAGCCATGTGACCACGCTTCGCCTTCCGAGTCTGCATCCTATGCACCACTTCTTGTAGGATAATAATATTACTCTGGATACTCCGCCCCGGAACAAAGCTAGTCTGAGTAGGTTTGACACATTGCACAAACTTATGGGCCGAAACTCAGCCACCAACGAGGGGCTTTGTTTTTTTTTGGATTAGTGTGATCAAGGTTTCGTTTACCGAGGCGACCAGACCGGGATTTCTGAAGCATTGGAGGAGAAACCCCGAGAGAGGCCCTCCAACCTTGCTCCAGCAGCGCTGGAAGAACAGAGGATGATATCCGTCCTTTCCCGGTGCTTTATGTGGCCCCATCGACTTGATCGCATCAAGCACCTCCACCTCGTTTATGTCCATCTCCAAAGCTGACATCAAACTCTCCACCTGGGGGAAATTGGCAGGGAGAACATCTCTTGTGGTCGGGTCTTCTTGGTAGAGGCTTACAAAGAAATCACGGACCAGGTTCTGGAGCTCGTTACTGTCCTCCACCCACGCACCATTATTATCCTTGAGTTTGCGTATCCTGTTGAAACTGCGTCTCCTCAAGGTTGACAGATGAAAATATCTTGTGTTGTTGTCTCCTTCATTGAACCATAGGGCTCTTGACTTCTGAAACCAAAGAATTTCCTCCTGTTTGAGCACAGAATGTAGGTTGCGTCTTGTCACCTCTTCCTCTTCCAAGCTTGCATTTGATGGATGGGTTTCATTTCTTAATTCTAACTCCTGCAACCGTCTGAGAAGCCTCCGTTTCTTGGCATGAATATTGCCAAAAACTTTCTTATTCCATTCCCCCAGATCCTTCGTTAGGGAGGTCAGCCGTTCTCCATAGCTGAAACCTTTATTCCATCCTTCCTCAAGGACCTGCTCAAAATCTGTATGTGTCAACCAGGGAGCCAGGAAACGAAACGGTTTCTGGCCCTTGGAGCGCTTCGTTTGACGTTCAGTAGAGGTAAGGATCGGTCGATGGTCAGATTTAACTCTTTGCAGGTGGGTCGTTGATGTTTTCGGGAAGCATTATAGCCATGTCGTGTTACATATGGCTCTATCCAATCGTTCTTTCAAGCCTCTAGCGCCTATCCAGGTGAAGTGTGGGCCCGTGAAAGGAAGGTCAATAAGACCGCAATCCTCCATGGTCGCGCGGAACTCTTTGCTCGCGGCGAAGTTGAAACCAGCGCCTCCTTGTTTCTCTTCCCGACTAAGGAGGGCATTGAAGTCACCAAGCAGCAGAAGCAGTTTTATGCTAGCCCCTGTTATACGTCGAATAGTTTCCCATAGATCCCGTCGTGTACTAAGTTGTGGTGAACCATAGACGCCCACAACGAAAGCATCCTCCCCATTACCCATCTTGAGTTTCAGAAGGAGTAGCTGGTCAGTTGCCTCTTCTAGGGTGATCATTGTATTACTCGAGTTCCACAAAGCCCAAATGCCCCCTGCGAATCCCCGAGTTTCCACCCGTCGGTTCGTATCAAAACCCATTCCCCGGATCACCTTCTCCGCTGTTGTTCCACTGATCCTGGGTTCAGAAATAAAGACTAAGTCAGGTCGATGAGTTCTCTTGAACTCTCGAAAATGCGTCAAAAAATTGGGGTCGGCCGCCCCACGACAATTCCATGCAAATACACTAACCATAACTACGTAAATTAAGGAAACCAAAAGCACAAAAGACAAAGAACAAGAGACTCCCTTTAGCGAGGGAGTTCAAGTTGACGTCACATCCATCTCAGTCAGGGTATTATCCCCACCGACCGAGACGTTCTCCTTTCCTCCCAGAGCCTGTGCTCTTAATGGCAAATTCACATCGACATTTAGGTCGAGGCTACGAGCTAGAGCTCTCTCTTGCTTTTGGGGTCCACCCATCGTGGAAGCTTTGGCACCCTTGTCCACAACAGTTCCCTGTTTGGTCCCTTTTAGTTTAGGGTTAGGGGATATCTTAGTGGTGTCTGGTGCATGTTTGGACCGATCAACGGAGGACTTGGTTGTTGCAGACCGACCTTGGGAGCTGGTCACGGTAATCTGCTTAGCTCCAATTGAGTATCCACCAACAGCTTTTGAGCTGACATTCGCCACCTTATGACCCTTGGAAAGCCCCTTCATTATTTTTTGTACCCGGACTTCCCCCGTAGGTGACTTCTCTTGGACTAATTTTTGTTTCGGGTCCTCCTTTTGCTCCTGACCAACAGCAGCCTTACCTATATCTCTCCTCTCCTTATCCTCTCCGCTGACCTCCACCGATCCTACCTGGTCAACCTCCATCCGCTTGCTGGCCGCTTCTAAGACCCTTGTATCCTCTCGGAGTTCATCATTAAGATCCTCCAACGCTAAGAACCTCGATCCTCCTTTATTAGAGGCGTTCACCTGATTCGGTTGGACCACTGTTAATTGCGGCTTGCTCGTTTTAGGGCCACGTTTCCTTCTGTTACTCGTTGCTATCATCCACGGTCCATATTCCTCATAAATTTCCGGCCTCTCCTGCTCAATCGTAAGTTTTTGCTGAGGGATGTGGGTTGTGCAGAAGTCCTTTTCTGTTGGGGTATCAACAGTCTTCTTTGGGCATGATTCTTGCTCATGACCATAGCGTCCACATGAGAAGCATACTTTGTGAAGTCCCTCGTATTCAATGCGCCTCGTTAGCCTTTCCATTATGTACTTACAAATCAGCGGCTTTGCTAGGTTTACCTCAACACAAATTCTTGCGAAGTGGCCTCGTATAGCCTGTCTCATTGCTTCATCCATTTTCACGTAAAGCCCGATCGAGTTTCCAATATTTCTTAAGAGTTCCTCATCATAGTAATCCATGGGGAGTCTGGGAAGCCTCGCCCATACCATGGTTTTGGAGAGCTCCTCCTCCTCGGGTTCGAAGCCCCTGCGATCCATACCCTAGTGAGAACGTAGTGATCCTCTATCATCCAAGGTCCCCCATTGAGGGCTCTATCATAATCATGTTCAGTTGTGAATCTTGCCGAGTAAAAACCATGCCCCATAGCTGCTATTGTTACCGGTCCCGTGCATGCCCACATATTTTGTAGCCTTCGTTGTAGGAATAGGAATGGGAAAGAGTGCCCAAGGATGCGAACGATGAGGGCAAGGCGCCATCGCTGACTACACATTTTGTGAAAACCTTGCGGAATCCTCACGTTCGGGCAGTCTG